TAAATATCTAAACAAGTACCTCTAAAAATCTCTCACATGCCTAATGAAAATGCTAGTAGATAACTATTGAAGAACCCCAGCTCTATCAGGAGGCTAAATGGTATCAAAAACAATTTAGCTGAACTTGCATTTAAAAAGCATGATTTCTTGGTGTGGTTTCATCAGAAGGGAGACATTAAGCCCTCCCACAAGCCGATCCAACAGTCCAAAGTCAGTTTTACAGACAATAGATGACAGATATGGCACAGGAATTAAGTATTTGAGGTTCCTAGGATTACTTCTCTTCTGCCATTGTAACTGTACTCCCACCACCTAGTGCTACAAGAGTTCTATTTAATTTTTTCCAGACTTAAAATATATTCTCCTCACCAAACCATGATTTAATATAGCTCTGTTTAGCATAGTACCATTTTCTATTAATACTCTGAAGTGCTCTAACTTTACAATATTTCATTACAGATACAGCTTAAGATATGTTCATATGACCTAAATTAAACCATTATTCAAGTTCTGGCATGTCATAAGATACAAGAAAGAGCCAGTAGGAGGAGAATGCTGACAAAAATTCTATCTGAGCAAATCATCATTAATTATTCTATTGAAGGTTTGAAGATATATCAGAATTCTGTAGTGAGAAATGTCATCTTAAAAATAAACCAAACCAAAACCAACAAAAAAACAAGTCCTGTACTATTTTTCTGACTTTTCTAATTTCTTGCTAAAGTTAAGATGACTGATCTGATAAAATTATTTTTTCTTTTTACTAATCAGCATTATATTAAAACAGACTTTCCAAAAAGAATTTAAGCTTTGTCCTTTGCAGCAGAAAAATTTCACTATGAAAAAGATAAGGATGGATAACACAGATAAAGAATGTGCTAAGGGGCAAAATTCTGATGTAAGTGACATCACAGAAGAAAGTTTTGTGACAAAACGTGAGATTTGTATATCAAGATAATGTCAAATTATCCAATAATCATGTTGTCTCACTGACATGACACTCCACAAAAGGAACCCTCAGGAGGAATTAAGGAAGACTCAAGTCCAGGCAACTTCAGAAAAAACACTTTATATTTAAAGAGGATGTGGAAAAAGGTAGAGCAGCTTTCTAAACAAGTAAGCACTTTTAGATAAGTTTTGCCAATGGAAGAGAGCAGACTGGATTGTCTATGCAGCAACAAACAAGACATAGAGATATAAAGGGGAAGAGCTACAGGAGATCAGAGACAGGAAATGGAAATTTCAACTTTTTCTTGTTCTGATGGGGAAGTAAGGGTAAAAAGATAACTTTGTGTCCATGAGACTGAACAAGAAAATCAGACTGAAGTGGAAAATCTAAGACAAGAATTAGTTGCAAGTTCATGGTAGCTGATAGCAATAACAGCAATTACCATTGCTACTAACAGATTTTGTTGAAAAACAGCACACAGGCAAGCTGGTGGAGGGAAGCATACAGGAAACTCCTGATATATGTAGTCTTAATGTTTCCAACTGCTTCACTGACTTTTTCCTATTCCATAGGAACCCTTTTCCTCCTGCAGGAAAGTAGTTTCACGGAGTCAGAGAATAGGTCAGGTTGGAAGGGACCACAGGGTCATCTGGTCTAACCTCCCTTCTCAGGCAGGGTCATCCCAGAGCACAAGGCATAGGATTGTGTCCAGAGGGTTCTTGAAGTAAAGGAGACTCCACAGCCTCTCTGGGCTAGGTATATATATGTATATAAAACTGGTGTTTTTCTCACACGAAATGACATAAAGCAAGAGCATGATGAGGTCAACAGGGGTTGACAAGACTAATCAAATGAATGTGGTTCACAGTGCAATTATGGATCCACCAGGACCTATACAGAATCAGGTTAAAAACATCTAGACCCCATTATGGATCTTATTCATTGCAATTATTTTGGACATTCATATTTCTATGAAAATCGGACCAGTGAAACCCAATGTTTCTGAATCATCTTAATAAACAGTTATTAGTTATACAATTTTTGGATTTGTGTATCATCCAACAACAACTCAAGTGTTAATTCACCACTGGTTTTACAGAAAAGGCTCACTAAGCAGCTTTTTTTAATGCAGTACAGCAGCATTGTTAATAGTTCTTTCCATACACCTAGTTAGCAGAGAGTGAGATGACCATCTTCCCATCATGGACGAGACGCCATGACAGAAATAATGTAACGACTGTGACGGAGCACTGGAACAGATTGCCCAGAGTGGCTGTGGAGCCTCCCTCACTGGAGACATTCCAGAACCCTCCGGACACAATCCTGTCCCACGTGCTCTGGGATGACCCTGGCTGGGCAGGGAGGTTGGACCAGATGATCCGCTGTGGTCCCTTCCACCCTGACCCATCCTATCTGTATTTGCTCCTTGTGCCAAAAGAATGTTCTGTGGTCCCAGAACAATTCAAACGATGGATAAACACGATTCAGAAACCTCAAGTATTTACTCGGATTAGAAGACCAGCTACAATTATAGTGAGTATGAAAGTAAGCTTTCCGGAAGCAGACGAAACTTTATACGTAATCTCTGATCCAAACCTACTGAAAAGAGGGCTAAGAAGTATTTTCTATCAAAAAGCATCATGTTCTCCCACTGAAGCAACCGGTGTGGAGGTGGATGGAGATCTGGGTCCTCCAGGAGGCCGGGGGGGTCCATTTCCACAGGGCCATCGACCCCAGGCCCTCGGTGCGAGGGTCCCGGCTGAAGCAAGGGCTGCCCTGGCCCTCAGATCCTCTGGTGTCCGGGCGGAGCTTCCGCAGCCCTTTCCCGTCAGAGCCGCGGCCGCCGAGAATCGAAACCGGCCCCGCCGCCCCCCCGCGCACGCGCGCGCCGCTTCCCCCCCGCGCGCCCGCTCTGCCGATCGCGCGCCGGCCGCGCGGTGACGTCACCGAGCGGGCCCCGCCCGGACCCCAATGAAAGGGAACGTGCGGCGCGAGGCGCTCCTCCGCCCCTCCCCCTGCACCGGCCGGGCGGCGGGACCAATCACAGCCCTCCCAGCGCCCCGGCCCCGCCCCCCTCACCGTGCCGTCACGGCACCTCCCGCAGCAGCGCTGCCGCTCAGCCAATCAGCGGTCCCGCCACCGGCCCCCCTCGCCCGCGGGGCCGCGTCCCCGCCCCGGCCGCGCTCCCCGCGCTCCCCCCGCCCCGAGCGCGAGCGCCGGCGGCGGCACAGCCTGGTCCGGTCCGGTCCGTGCGGGCGGCGGCGCCTCCCGGTGCTCGGCGACATGGAGTGCGCTGCGGCGGGCGCCGAGTTCAACATCCTCCTCGCTACCGATTCCTACAAGGTGGGCGCGAGCACGCCGGGCGGGCGGGGGTCACCTCTGCGGGCACCGGACCCGCCGGGACGCTCCATCCGCGGGGCGCCCAGCCAGGCCGTCCCCGCCGCCACCGGCCCCCCTGCCCGCCTGGCCGGGGCTGGGAGATTCCTCGGGGTGCCACAGAGGGTGCCTGGCCTCGGGGCGGCGCGGGGGGACAGCGGAGGCCTGGCCGGGGCTGCTCCCCCCCCGCCCCAGGCAGCCCCGGGCCGCTCCCCGCGCGGTGCCCGGGGCCACGCAGCGCCGGCGGGGCTGGGAAAGAAAGTGAAAGCGGGCGGGGTGGGCGCCGCCGTCCCGCGGGCGCGGGGGGCGGCCATGGCGGGCACATGGGAGGCGGGGGCCGCCGAGCATCCTCCGGCCCCGCCGGGCCCCCGCCCCCCCTGGCCGGGCACGGGGCGGGCGCGCACGGGAGGCAGCCGGGCGGTCGCTCCTTTCTTCCCGCTCTGCCCTGCTCGTGCCCGACGGTTTGTGCCCGGCGAGAGTGCGGAGCGCCCCGGGAGCCGGCTGGCCCAAAATACGTGTTTTCCAGCCCTCTGCTCCGTTGCTGCGGTGTGACACACTCGCTCGGCGAGGTGTTCGCTCAGAGCGGGGGAATCGCGCTCTACAGCCCTGCCTTCGTTATTTGGGAATCGTGTCCCTAAAAGCGGTGGCAAAGTGCAGGCGCCCTGTCCGCGCTCCGACCCGGTGATTCCTGACCCGGGAGCTCCTGGTGTGCCTCCCAGGCACCTGTGCCCGGAATGTGCCCGGGCCGAAGTCCTGCCTCTGCGCAGCCTTCATGTATGTACAGCTTCCAGATAGTGGGCAGAGCCAGCGTGCGACTCCCCAGCCCGGCTGGACAGATGTGCCCCGCGTCTCCTAGGCTGAAAAACTCACTTATTTCCTTGAGCAGTGTCAAAGTGGCCTAAACAAAACAACAACAGCAGTTCTGATTGTCGTTGTGGAGCATTTAGTATGTTCTAGCTCTGTGAATATTTTGCCCCTTGGATGAGTTTCAGGGAGGAGGGTACTTGTAGATAGAGGAATCGAAAAAGCTAAAGCTATGTTGTGACCAGCTCTTGTTACTGAGTAACTACCAAAGTTCAAGCCCCTCAGTATGTGCTCCGATTGCTGACTTTTGTGGTTGTGCCTTTTCCAGCTCCTCTGTCGTGCCTTTTCCAGCTTCACCCCCCTCTGGGGGTGATATTATTAGTACTTTTATTATTATTACTACTGTATTATTATAATTGTTATCATTATCTTCATCATTATTACTACTATATATTACATAAAGATGCTCTTTTTGTAAAGAAAGTCTTAGATATTTTTGCTGTTTGTGGGAAGGTGTGTTGGAAGACAGGAGATGGTGATAAACCTTGGAGCAGCTCAGAGCATCCTAATGCTGCCACTGAGGGCTCACAAAACCACTTCCATTTAGGGCTTAATCTAGATACAGGGCTCTTTATGAACTATGTTTAAGTGTTTGTTATCTGACTTATTCAAATATGGAAGATACAGTTTTCTTCCATGTCTGAGGCTAATCACATTAAATACTGCAGGCCTGGGCTTAAGCGGTACCTCAAATCTAATTTGCACACTACTTTTTCTAAATTCTCTGGATGTACTTGAGGACTGGTGGTGATGTGGAGCACTAGAGTGACAGAAAAACAGTTTGCTTCTGTTTTGTTTGCTGTTTCGTAGGAAATATGACTTGGTAACATTCCGGGAGTGGTAGAAATTTTAAAGAGGTCAAATAAAGGCCTGAGGTAGTTTTTTTTTTTTCCAGTTTAAAACTGAATTTGGATGAGGTTTTCTGCAGCAGCTAGGAGCATTTTGTATTATATTTAGAACAGTTGGAATTGTGTTGGAATTTGTTAGGACTATTGAAATTATGTCTTTCTATATGCTTTTTTCCAAATCTTAGGAACTCCAGCGTCTCTGAACAATGCTTAAACAAGTAGCTGCTCTTATCTTGTTAGGTAATATGAGCAAACATCACTTATCTTCTCCCTGGATGATACTGTCATTTCTTAATCAATGAAACACACTTAGTGAGAATACTTTCAGTAAAATTGCACTAAAATATCAGGTAGTTTGCAACATCAAGCTTTTTACAGAGTTACCAAACACTCTTACTATCAATTAAAACAAAAATGAGAATTGATCTTGGGTTTTTCTTTTTTTTTTTTTTTTTAAAGATAGTTTTGCTGTATCCACAACTCTGACATCTGTGTGGAGTACTGTATGTATGTAACATTTAGACTCTGAGAAAAAACATGGATCTGATCAGAAGGTTACGTGCTTATCCTGTTGCAGTAGATGCCGATCCATACAAGCTAATGTTGGTGACGAAAATCCCTTGGAAGTAAACAACTCAGAAAGAAAAAATACATGCAGACCATACTGAACAGTACAACCCTAGCTTAGGCAGCTGTCCATGAGAAAAAAGTTATGGTATCTCAGCGTCATATCTGTCACAACTCATTAGTCTGAGTGTTAGCTTCGGTGTCCCAGTTCTCTGTTGCTGCAGTTGAAAATTTGGGATGGAAAGACAATTCGTTACTGGTTTAGTGCCTATACAGTTTCAGAAACAAAGTAATTTGGTAGGCAAGGATCTGTCTTTTGACAGTTAATCCAGCATCTCCTCCCTTTACAGTGTCTTTTCCTGTCTCTATGTGCATTATAGGACATTTCCTCTTAAATCACAGAGATTATCAAATACTTGGTTTCAAAATCTTAAGTGTTTTTGAAAAACTGCTGAGAATCATGCTGATTTCTAGTTTAGTGAATATTTCTAGATGGGAATAGTTCCCAGTAGGTGAACTGTGCCTTGGATCCAGTACTGAGCTTCCATTATAGACTGGACCTTACTCAATTGTACAAGTGCTCCAGAATTTTTCAGGCTGGGCTTCAAAATGTGCAGTTTATCTCTAAACCAGATAACAAGATAAATGTTTTTACATCAGTTAGATTTTTCTTCCTGTGTATTTTGTTACAGGTTCTTAAGCTTCTACAAATCCCCCAACAGTATAATTCCTCCTGTGTGCTGGGAATTATATGCCATCTCCTCAGAATCTGGGCATGGGCATATGGTATGGTGTGTGTGCAACTTGCTGATAAATAACAGCAGTCTTTTTAAGTGTTCAGATTATGAGACTCAACAGATTCATCAATGTTAGCTGGGGAACCTCTTTGTCTGAATGTCCAGTTATAGCAGTGGCATTTGTTCATAGTAAAGTTTTCTGCTAGTGACTTGGTATTACTGAAAAAGGGAAGTATTTGAAGTCAAAGTCCTTGTTGCTGGAAAGCTGCAAGTGAGGGGATATCAGGAGGCTCCTTGAAGCTCATTGTTTGTGCTGTGTGGTATCTTATTCTTATGTCTCTAGCAAGAAGTCCCTGGAACCTTGCCCTTCTGTGACAGTGAGGGTTCTGTTCACTCACTGCCCTTCCCAAGCCAAAGGGTCAAAGCCCTTCAGTTCCTCATTCGTCTGATGTCCTTGACACACCACCACTCCATTTTCTTTCTTTTTGATTCCCAGTGCTCTGTTTATCCCGTATTTGTTTATTTCTGCGAAGGCAAGAAACCTTCCAGGGTATATGTGGTCTGAAACTGTATTGAGAAGATCAGCTCGGCAGAGCTGTGTTGTTCAGTGGGGAGATACCTGTGACTGGCACGTACCGGGCCTGGGTTGGATGGACCATGAGCTGCAAGTGGGGAAAGGCCATTGACTGAACTTTGTTCACTTAAGTAATAATAGCTTATTTTGCCTTTGCCAATGAGATTTATTACTGTTGCTTGGCATGTTTCGTAATTAAGCTGATAGCTATAATAAGCTGCCATGCAATTACCCTTAGGAGGAGCTGACTTGCTATCTAGACTGTAAATGAGATCTGTTTCAGAATTAATTTCTTTCTGGATGCTTCAAGGAAACCTAAAAGATATGTTTTAACTCTTTATGCCTTACATGTTGAATTTTAAGTATTTGTCACTTCAAATTACTTCTTTTACTCTGCGTGGATGTAGGAGAGCACCGACTTCTGAAACACTTCACGTGAGTGTGTGTTTATTCTAGGCTTTGACAGCCTGTATATTCTTTATTTAGAAGGCTAGAGGTATGCCAGGAAGAGACATGAGTACTCTTTAGCCTACTGATTTTGACTAGTACTTAACGACTGCAAAGTAT